TTTGAAGCTGAAGCTCAAGCTCAAGCTCAAGCTTATACATCATATTATCCTTATATGGTTGGCATGCAAAATAGTGTGTATGCACCAGTATGTGTTCATAAGACGACTTTACATCAATTGTTTGTTTTCATTTACAAATATTTTGTAACATGTACTTTTTTACTTCAATTATGACAGGTCGTAAATGCTATTGGAGGCACATCTCTTATCCCATCGGACTTTGTAAGCGGTACACCGAGAAGTTTGATGAGTGCTCCAACACAAATGTTTGGCTCTGGATCTCTAACCCTATCGGGTTCTAATGCATGCACACCGGGAATGAATGATGGACATTGCACAGCACGAATGAATGATGGAGATTCTAAAAATGTTTGACTAGTTTATTGAACATTGGCATTTTGTTTTTGAGATTGAAAGTTATTATGTTAAGTCCCATGTTACATGTGTAACACATGTTGTGTATGAATTTGCAAGGTTGGTTATTATTAAGTCCCACTTTATTGGTTATGTAAGATTGGTGTTTGAGTTCATGGTTTATTTTGACAATCTGTCTTTCAACATTTTCAGTTCACAGTTGATGGTTTAAAAAAATCTGTTTCATTTTGCTATTTTGACAGTGTTTGAGCATTTTGTCAGTGTTTGAGCATGATTTTTTGAGAGTTCATGCAGAATCTCTGTTGACAGTTCATGGTTTAAGAAATCTGTAAGAAAAATGATTTTAGCCAAAATATGATTTTTTCAGTTCATGGTTCAAATTTGTAAAAATCTGTGTAAAATCTGTAAAAATCTGTCAAATCTGTAAAAATCTGTCAAATCTGTAAAAATCTGTGTAAAATCTGAAATCTGTGTAAAAATCTAGTTCATGGTTCATGCTCAAATGTCAAATCTAGTTCATGGTTCTGTAAATGATGGTTAATATCATGCTCAAATCTCAAATCTGGTTCATGGTTCTGTAATTGATGGTTCATGGTTCATGCTGTTTAAAATCTGTTTATGGTTCAAATCTGTAAAAATCTGTTTATGGTTCAAATCATGGTTGCCAAAATATGTCTGTTGATGGTTCAAATCATGGTTGCCAAAATATGTCTGTTTATGGTTCAAATCATGGTTCAAATCTGTAAAAAATCTGTAAAAAATTTGTCATGGTTCATGCTCAACATCTTGATTCCACAACAAACCTGTTTAAAATCTGACATGGTTTAAAATCTGTTATGGGTCATGGTTCAGTTCATGGTTTAAAACCTGTTCATGGTTCACATCTTCATTCCACAACAATTCCACAATAACACATCTTCATTCCACAACAATTCCACAGTACCACATCTTCATTCCACATCTTCATTCAACAATTCAACAATAACAATTCAACAATTCAGTGGGTCATTTCCCTTCCACTCAAAAATTCAACAATTCACAACAAAATATATTCCATTCCACAAAACATATTCAACAATACATATTCCATTCCACAACAAAACATAGTTCAATCTACTTCTACTTCTACTTCTAACTAGCTTTACATCTTCATAAGTAATAACACACCAATTACAAGCAAGAAAAACATCACAAATTCTAGTTTTTGCATCTTTGCACTAACAAAGGTAAATTGTTCCGTCATAGATCTTTGTTGTTCGGTCATAGCTCGAAATTGTTCCGTCATAGATCTTTGTTGTTCGGTCATAGCTCGAACTTGTTCCGCCATAGATCTTTGTTGTTCGGTCATAGCTCGAACTTGTTCCGTCATAGATCTTAGCAATTCTCTTTCTACTTGTCTTGGAATTTCTTGATCTCCACATTCTGAATTCATAGGCACACACCATCCAATGAAAATACCACAACCATTACAAGAGTAGAATAGCTTGTTTTTGTTTCGATCGGTCTCAGAAATTAGAATCATGGCCTTTTTCTTACATGTAGGACAATTTTTGTTGAAGTACATCAACCGATCTGAGCTACTGGAGTTGACAGTTGAACTTGACATCTGCAATAACAAGTTATCCTCATTAACTGAAAATTGAATCAAAAAGTGAAATCAATAATCTCATATAGGAATAGTCTGAAATTAAATCAAAGAGTGAAAATTCAAACACTGTCAGTTTGAATTTGAACTCATACAAGTTACATTTTATATGCATTGGGCTAGTTACATTTTTGAATTGTAAGTGAAATTTGAACATTGACACCTTGTATGAGTTCAAACACTGTCAGTTTGAATTTGAACTCAATTTGACAAATGAGTTCAATTTCAAGTTCAAATTCATTTTCCAAATTCAAATGAGTTCAAACTCATTTCACGTACAATTTGAATTTGAACTCATTTCACTTACACTGTTTGAACTCATTTCACTTACAGTGAGCTATATACACACTGGCAAGTTGGCAACCAATACTTCAAACCAAGTCCATATAACTCAGTGTGCGATTAGTAGATTTCATAAATCCAAATCAAACTCCATTAAGTAAATAGAAGAGTTAAACAACTTTGTTTACAGAACAAAACTAGTTATTATCTTAATATCTAAACCACTGTAAGAATAAAATTTATAATTCAACATTTAACAGACACATAATTCAGCCGTCATTTGACACATCACTTTGCAACTTCCAAAAAACTGAATTCAATTCATTAAGAGATTATGGGTAAGTCAAACCCAACGGAAAATGGAAATAAGAAATTTGTGTATAGTAATAAAGAAATGTCGACCTCAGACAAAACTAGGACTATATGTCTTATCTTAGACAGAAGAACAGGATTTGGTACAGTATTACTAGAAAGTCACCCATATTGAAATAAAAACACATTTATTTGCTAAGAATCACTGCCACTCTCAACATTTTAGATGGCACTTATACCCATGAGTAATTTGGAGTTTAAGGTTTCTACTGAAATATGCAATATGGCTTAATGATTCTATATTTCTACTGAAAGATGCAATATGGCTTCTTTGAGGCATTCCAAGAAAGATGAAAAATCTCTTAATGGCAACCTCAAGCCTATAATGCTACCCATTACATCTCTAATCATAACTCAAAATCCTGTGTTTTCAAGAGAACAAACATCATGTTGCTACTCTAAGAAGAAGTTATACCTCCCCAATAACTCATGGTAAGACTCAAAGACCATTAAACCCACTGGGAAGAAGTTATACCTGTGTTTTCAGAAATTTGAATTCAGAAATTTGATTCAACAAATTTCAATTTCAGAAATTTGATTTTTACACAGATTTTACATAATAATAAAATATGGAATTGAGAATAATAAAATATATGTTAATAAGGGCATTAATCCATATGTTCAGATTTACACAGATTTTCAATTTCAGAAATTCAATCCATATGTTCAGATTTTACACAGATTTTAGAAATCTTAACAAATCTGTAGAAATTAGGGCATCAACAACATATATATGTTAATTTCAGAAATTTCAACAACATATATATTACCGCAACTTGGGGAATTTCTGAAATTTCTGAAATTGGCAAAATTAGGGCAAAATCAACATATATATGTATATATATACACCAGATTGAAATAGAGACAGTCGGGACTCGGGAGGACAGAGTAGGACCTGTCATCGGGGCGTGAAGGGGAAGAGGGGGTCCGTTGAATGAGATGGAAAGGGAGGGAGAGAGAGAGTGCGTCGGGCGTCGGGCGTCGGGCGTCGCAGTCAAGGACGTCGGAGTGAAAGGGAGGAGCTGAGGGAGTCGGCCTTCGGAGTTGGGAGTTGGAGCTGTCCGTCAATTGAGGGGGAGCTGTCCGTCGAGTTCAGGAGTCGTTCTGCCCCTCGATCGCCATTGTCATCGAGCTATATTTTCTCGTTCAAAAATGTTTTTGAATTCTAAAAGAGGAGGGACATCGACTTTGTATGTCACGTGACCCATCACGTGCTGTCCAGCTCAGAGGGGGTCTTATTTTGAAGGGGTCGGAAACATTTTTCAAAAAAAAAAAAAAAGAAAAAAGAAACAACCTACCTACCTACCCAAGAAAACATTTTATAATAATGAGTAATTGCATACCTACTAATGTCATAAAATGAGACAAAGATGTGGGATGAAAAAAGAGTTAAGTTTTACATGCCAGCTTTTGGAAACAATGATAAAAAGTCAGCTTTTTAGATTTTTAGTTTTTTTAATTAAGAAAGCCAGTTTTTTTTATCTAAAATAACTTTGTGTTTTGTTAAAAAAGTCATCAAAAAAGTTAAAAAATCAAAAAATTAACTTTTTACCAATTTTTCAAAACACCACATTGTGAACCATATACGTAAAAACTTAGGTTACGTTTGGTAGAGTTTTGTAATTATGATTTGAGAGTATGCGTTGTATTTTGAGTTTGTGAGGTTTGAAATTATGATTTGAGTGTAGAAAATTTGTTTGGTAAAGAGTTTTGATTTGAGTGGGGAATTGTTGATGTGACATTTGATATTTGATACAAAAATTTACAACTCATAACTAAACATACAACTCAAAATTATTTTAAAGCACATAAAAAATTTTAAAAATTTCAAAAAATGTTTTTTTCGATTATATAAAAATTAACATATTAATTGCAAAAAAAAAAAATTACTATTCCAGTCAATCGGCCGGACGTCTGGTTAGGCAAAATTTGCAAAAAAAAAATTCTAAAAAGCGCGGCTGGTACAGACTTCTCTGCAGAGTTTTGGAAACATGTTTCCAAAACACATTCCAAACACCATATTGAAAACTCAGTATAGAATCACCTTTTGAAAACATAACCAAACAGAGCCTTACGTTTCTATCTCACATTTATATCTTACACTGTAAAAATTATTTTTATTTCTTATTATGTAAAAATCTTTTTGATTTCATAATATATTGTTGAATAATAATAAACATACATAAAAACAGGTTCACAAAAAGTATAGTATGTAGAAGGTCCCTCATATCGATCCCATTGTGTGTTTAGAAATTTGACTTTTTTAATAATTTTTAAATTTTTTTTTATAAAGTGAAGAAAAGTTAGTGCGTTAGAAATAATTTTTCTAATTGAATGAATAATTGTAAAAAAAAAAAATGATTGATTAATATGTACAAGATGACATTTTTATTTTTTTTGTAATTTTTAAAACTTCTTTTAACCATAAAATTGACAATCAAACAGTTCCTTTTTCTTTCTAACATGATATTGCCGGAGCACATGAGGATAGAGAAAATTACAATTCAATGCAAATTCTTTTTAATTTTTTTTATACATATTAATAACTAAAATTTTAAATTTTTTCATATAACCGTAAATATTTGTTTGTAAGTCGCACATAGTAAAAATGAGAAGGAAAGCTGCGGCCTCAGTTATAAATAAGGGAGGAGCACAACACAGAGGACAAAACTTGTACGATGCTTGCTTGCTTGCTTGGTTTGTGTTATTAATAATACTAGTTAAACAATTCTGAGTTTCTATGTTTTTTAATTACAAGTTTGCCTAGAATTAAGACATCATTCGAATCCTGTTATAATTTTTTGAGTTTGATGTTGCTTGCTCTCATTAATTTTAGGGTTTGGAAGACAGTTTTGTCTTGAGCATGTTCCTTCTCACTGCAGAGAGGTTCATGAACATAAATGTATGTATGGAAAGGCTGCAAAATTTCAAGAAGTAATAATAATATAGAGTGGCAGTGTTGACTGTGAGATGAGAGACCACATCTAACACCATTCCACCAAAGAGAAAACTTTGACTCAACATTAGAGAGGTTAGTACGGACACACGCACACACTACCCCGCCCCATTTAATGTAGGGCTCTAACTTTTGGTCCACACCAGTCTATTGGTAGGGTAATGGAGATAGAATGGGGCAAGTTCGGGTGATTTTTATTAGTTGAAATAGTAAAATTTATTAATTTTTTAATAGATTAAAGTTGTTTTGATTTATAAATTTAAAAGGAGAAATATATAATAAAAAAAAAATTTGTGTAGAATATAAATAAAATATAAATATATTTTATTGACAGTATATTTATCTTTTTATTTTCTCTTTTTAAATGACTATAAATTTATGCACCAAACAAACATGGTTTAAGAGAAAAAATTATTGATTGGCACAGGGCGTGGAGATGCCACTTGGTCTTACTCTCACTAATCACAAAATATCATGTTTTTTAATATTTTTTTTTATATTCTAACACAAAATTATAAATTTTAATTCCTCTACCAATTACAATACTCACAAGACACTATTTGACCACCTCTCACGATGGCCTAATAACCGTTCACAGTAAAGACCTCATACTATTACATTATTAATGATGCTATGATCGTACTCATCTTTTTATGTCCAAATTAAAACACTCATTTTTATGGTTGAAAAATTATAAAAATGTCAATCACAAATTTTATGCATTAAAAATGCATTTATAAATCAATAATGTATACATAATCTTTCATAGCCTTGCTTTTACATGATAAGATTCTCACTGTAAACTGGAGAATAATGAAAAAATAAAAAGAAAACAATAAAATAATAACAGTTTCCCTATGAAAATTATTATTCTCTCTAAAAAATAGATGTTGACAACACCATGAAGCTGAACAAGATAAAAGAAATGTGCTTTAGAACTCTCATTTTTTTATTTTAAAATTAGTTTTAATAAATTGATAATGAGTTTCACTTATTGTGATTGGATGTTTTAGTTTTAATTTATTTGTTTATTTTTTTTATTATATCATTAAAATTTTATTAAAATATCAAAATTAATGTTCCGAGTAATTGTTCAAGATAAAATGAAGGAAACATCGTAGCCCCTTCTTCAAACTATAGAATAACTCTCTCCCCCGTCTCTCTCTCTCGTTTATGCCGACCAATAGTGGATGATACCAACATTAATGTCTTTACAGAAGACAACGTGGCACATACATACAACACTATATTTTTATATCAGTAATGTTAGGTATTATGAAAAAAATTTCATGAAAATAATAATGAAAGATTTGTGACCTTTAAATTACACTTAAAATAAATTATTACACATTAATCAATATAATTTAAGGGTCACAAATCTTTCATGATCATTTCTATAAAAAAAAAATTATGATCCCTAATATTTCAGTTGAATAATGCTTGGGACCCCCTTTTGGGGGTCACCCCCTCACCCCCCTTTGCCACGTGGCAGGTGGTGATTGGAGGAGCAGAAAAAAAAAGAAAAAGAAAAAGAAAAGGTAACCAATGAGAGAGAAAGGGGTCAAAGGGGTGGGGAAAAAGGGGATGAATCATTACTCATTTCACTTATCCACTTACAACCTACAATAAGTTGCATCACATTGATCTATTGCTACTTTTTCTTAATGTATGCTTATTCATTAAATCATGTTTAGAATTTTTTATATTTTGAATTTCTCACATCATCTAATGATTGGAAATACATCAAATTTGGAGCATGAAAATGAAGAATTTGAAAATAGATGATCATTGACTATACTTTTTATATTTAAATAGTAAATTTTACTTTTTATTATTGTAAATAAAATTTGTGAGGCCTATTTTGATAAATAGGTTAAAAGTTAATTTTTTAGTTTTTTTTTGAAAAAAAAAATGTAAAAAAAATAGAGAGGTAATATGACCAAAAAAACTAAAAATCTAACTTTTTTTACTTTTAACCCAGTTACCATATATTTATTATTTTAGATATGATTTTGTATATGGAGGCTTTTTCTCGACTTTTAGATAATTGAAAAAAATTATTTAAATCTTTATGGTTATGGCCTTTAAATATCATTTCAATACTAATTTAAAATAATATTTTAACATTCAAGATAAAGTATATTACACAACAATGATAGAGACCACTAATTTTAGAGTTCTAGAAAGACCACATAGCACTCAATAAAAAAAAGAAAAAAAATACAACACTAAGTCAAAACATCAAATCATTCATGGTGGGACCTACTGCCACATCATTAGTGATGACACTAATTAGTGCTTTCACTCATTTTCCCTCAACATATTACTGCTTCCATTTTGGAATGAAAGTTGGTTCTGTTTTTATTATTTGCCTTAAAATGGAACTCTCAGTAGAAGAAGTTTTGGTTTTCATTTTGATATTTTACCAATAAGATTTCAAATTTCAAATTTGTTAGTGGTAAAGGTATCATCTTATAGCAAAACCATTTTGTCAGGTAACTAAATGCAATAACCCTCAAATAGGTTTCAATTTCACATTCCTAAGCAAACAAATTAATTCTATTATATAAAGTGTACCCCTCATTTGAAGCAAGCACTATCTCGTTTTTTTCTCTTTCTTTGTTCCCAAGAATGCCCTAAAGGTCTCCTCCAATAAATGTTAAATGGTTTTTCACATTAATCAAATTACCTAAATCGTTAACGGTTTTCTCATTAATCACACCACACAAAAAAATTGAATGTAAAATTGCAAATGTATCGTATTTAGGGGTGGGTGCGGGTCGGTTGCGGCCACGAAACCTCAAATCCGCCATCCGTCCGTCAGATTCGCGGATTGGAGAAAATCAATCCGTATCCGTCCGTCAATCCGGCGGATGTGGATTGAGCGGAAATGTAGCCCAAGCCAAACTCTACACTTTATACAAAGGGACCAAGGTAAGGGATCACTCAAACTAGATCAAACCGTAGAGAGAAGTTGAAGTTTAGAGTGAAGAGCTCTCCAATGGAGGTTTTGAAAAGTTAGAGAGAGAAAGAGTCAAAGAAAAGTGATCCAAAAAGTCACTTTTCGGACTGATATAAAAGTCGCCCCGCTCGAGCGTAGAACTCCCCGCTCGA